TGGGAGGGCCCTATGAGGTTGACACGAGTCTCTGGATATTTCGGGCAGGTACTTCGAGATTGATTCTGCAGGATCGGTAAAGGGTACCGATTGTAGACTTTGTTGGGCCTGTAGTGACTGTTTGTTGCTTGAGCCAATATCATCGGTAGCCGATGCCGATTGGTCAGAGCCTTGAGTACTTGGGGAGTTTCTCTGATCCACGCGTCACTGGATGAGTGGAGGGTCAGATATGGTACAAACATATCTCAAGTACTTAACAATATTTATTCATGAGTATGAGGTCCCAGATTCAATTTCGTCAATACTCTAATATCGTTTGTATAAAAAAATTAAAAATAAAAACCCAACCATATTTAAAATTGAATGAATAGCTCATTCTACTAAAGGATTTATTAAGTTCAACTAAGCTCATGTCGCTTTGAATCAACATGTTGAATTATTTAAACAAATAGATGACATATTTTTTCAAGCATGGGTTAAGGAATTGGTATGAGATCAACCATATCTATTCTTGATTTCTCAAGCATTGAATAACGGATTGTAATGTGAGACCAACATACTTTTTAATTTCATGTGTGTTAGAAAAAGTATGAATATTCATAAATCGAAAAAATCTATATATAGATTCCAAGTAAGTAAACATACCAGAGTTTAGAACACGGATTTAGGTTGAGCTTGGGTTGGCAAATGATATTTACCCCTTTTAGTTTTACAAGTTATAACTTTTTCTCTCAATCAAATTTAGCCAAAGGAAAATACAACTTAGATTAAAATATAATTTATAAATTTTTAATTTTTAATTGAAAATCTTATTTTAAAAGCCAAAGAGCCAAAACAAAGAAAGGATATGATCACTATTTTTGTAAGTTTCTTTAACTGATTTTCTAATCTCATTCCTAGCAGAGTTTAACTCTCAAGTTTTGAGCTAGCTAAGAAAAAAGGTGTGGAGTTTTTGGGTCGCTCTCTCGTTCACACGAGGAGAGCCTTGACGGCTAGGGTTAGGGTTTTTCTAGTTTTCTTTACTCATTCTTTGTGCCATCTCTCTCAATCTTCTCTAATTGTTTCTTTGGGTTCTTCTTGGTGAATTGGGTATGATGTTTTTTTTGCTTTTTTGTTCTCCGTAGGGTGGCTGCATTGGCTTCCTTTATGGGTTCCCAAGGAGCCAGTCGCTGGTGAGGGGTCTCCATCTTAATGCTATAGAGATGGCCACCGCCTCTTCTGCTAAAGGGGATGACAAGTATGCGGCACCAAGCGGGAATCAGAAGCATGCAAAAACTGGTGTTGGGCATCTGATTGTTAGTGTCATGGATTTTTTTAGTAAGCATAGTTTTTGTACCGAGGATTTTGTTGACAAGGCGGAGGAGACCAGCCTCAAGTGGTCTCCAAGATCTCCCTAATAATTCTCCTAAGGAACGTTCGTGGGCTTGGCAACCGATGAACGTTCCTACTATGAAGATCTTTCTTTAGAATTTTCTTCAAGCTAAAAGGACATTCTTGGTCTACCTTGCTTGTCAGCTGGGGTTCTGGATCAAGAAAATTGGAGGTGGCGATTGGTGTTTGGCTGGATCTGTTATGATGCTCACAATACGTTTTTGACTTTGTACAAAGAACTATGATGCTTTCTTTAGATCATAGGAGGCTTTCTTTGACAATATCTGCATAGTGATGGGATGTGTTTCAATGATTTTGCGGTTGGGTGATTGGCTGGATCTATTCTGATACCCATAGTACGTTTTTGACTATGTACTATGATGTTTTTTTCTAGATCATAGGAAGGCTTCTTTGACAGTATCTATGTAGTGATGAGATGTTGTTTTAAGGGTTTTGTGGTTGGGGTTTAGGTTTGTTTGTTTCGTGTAAGTTGTTTGACTCTTCTATTTAGTCAATAGCATGGGTGGTACTCTTTCCTACCTCGGAATTTGTTTCTCTAGGAAGGTTTTAACGAGGTCGTCGTTAACATGCTAGTACTTACCATGTAATGTTCCTTTCGATTTAATGAAATACCACCTTTTCTCAACAACAAAAAAAGAGAGGATATGATCTAAGTCCCAATGACCTATTTGGGAGTGCTTCTGGAAAGGCTAAAAGTGCTTTCTAACAACTAAAATGGCTTCTGACATCATTTGGCAGAAAAGTTTAGAAGCTTTTCTGAGTCATAAAAGCGCTCTTTGGAGAAGCACATGCTATTTGTTTCTTCTGAAAGCACTCCCAAATGCTTTTTCAAGAAGCGTATGGATTTTTTTATATGAAAATTCAAGATTTTTATAATAAAAGTGTTTTTGTTAAAAGCGCTTATGAGCAAAAGTACATCCTAAAGAAGCCATTCCAAATGAGTCATTGGTTAGTTGAGGAATCATCCCAATAAGAGGTCTTGCAAAATTAATGGAGAATTAAATTAAGATGACTGAAAGAGTGAAAGGTCACAACTTTTGTCACTAAAAGTTTAAAAAAAGGTTTCAAATCTATCATAAATCCCATCAAGGCGAATTCCTAAAAAAGATGCGTATTGCCCGATCAAAAAAATTGAAAGAGAATGATAAAAAAGAAGCATATGCCAACTGCAAAGGGGGTACCAAGAACACATATTTGTAGACAAGTGTTGGGTCACACTAGGAGGCAGCAGCACGCCACTGGTGACTCATGAGTCATGTCTGAAGAGAGAAGCTGACAAATCCCATCAATTCCAATTCCACCCATTTCTGCTTCACATTCGTCTACCTCCGACACTCCGAGTCCGAACTGTAACTTCTTCTTACCCTTTTTCAATTCCTTCAATTCCTTCCTATTGAAACAATTAACAATCAAAAACCCAACACCCATCGAGCTGAAAAGGAGCAATCTTCAGCTGAAAACGGACCAATCTTTGTTGATTCTTGTTGTTGTTGAACATGGTTTCATCAAGATCTCTTGTCTTTCTGTAGAGCCTGTAGGGGGTCAGGGGAGAGATTGGAGCGATGAATGTGAGCCGCCCATCGGTTCACCCCGTGGAGGCCCCGCCCTTGACTGACATGGCAGCCCAGAACGCTCTCAGAGTGAGGATGAAGGACGTTCAAGGCATGCCTGGCACCACAGGTGGTCTCGTGTTGCGTCTTTGCCAGCTCGGCTTTGCAGCCATTTCTCTCTCAGTCATGGCCACCACCTCCGATTTTCCTTCTGTCACTGCTTTTTGGTAATGCTTGTTTTGTTGTGTTCATGATTTCACGATTTTTACTTGATTATAGACATGGGTTTTGGTTAAAGTCCAGTCTTTGATGATTATTGTGTTTGCTTTTTTCTGGGTCAGCTACCTTGTTGCTGCTGTTAGTGTGCAATGTGTGTGGAGCTTGTCACTGGCGATTGTTGATGTGTATGCTCTTTCAGTGAGGCGGAGCTTGCGCAACTGCAAGGTTGTGGGTTTCTTCACCATTGGAGATGGGGTAAGATAAGATTCAAACTCATTAAGTCTTGTTGCATAACTGCAGCAAAGCAATACTGGTATTCTTGTTGGATTAACTATTTAGGTTCCATGTGAAATTTAGCCCAAGCCTCCTAAACCAGCTAGAAGTATATGAGTTTTTCCTTCTCTATTGGCAGAATCTGAAGCTACCCCTTCTCTATTGCCTGTTTGCCACCCAACCCTTACCAAATGTGGCATTGATAGATTTCCCCAAACTTGATAACGGTGCTTTATGTCAGAAGCTTCATGTGGATATGTTTTGTAATTTTTTTATCTGATTTCTGGTGTAATGTTTTATCTAATTGCTATTTGGGAAATAGCATAGGGTTCTTTGCATCCATTTGTTAGCTGCCTTGTTCGTATCTGCTTTCCCAATTATATCCATATACCATTGCTTCGAAGTGGAATTTGCTACTCTGGGGGTCCATTGACATAGTTGCTGTTCTAGATTATGCTGCAGTTGATAGTGTTACCATCGATTGTCCCTTACTACACCAAGACACTACTACATCTAAGACTGACTAAAATGTTTCTAATGTTTCTGTTAGTTGATTGGCCCATCTTCTGATCTCTGGAATAATCAGCAGCACAGTAGCCAACTAGCTTGCCCCCTTTACCCTTGTACAATGAAATAAGGTTGTATTTTTACAAACTATACAAGAGAAAACCTTTATATTCAGGTCTCCACCTGTGGATGATTATTATTCTCATGTACATTTGAAAATACCAGTCGTGGATCTAATTCAGATATTTAACAACCAATATTATAACAAGGTAAAATCTCTGTCACATGACATGTTACAACTCGTTCTTCTGAAGTTGCAGTTTTGCCTTGTTTCTCTTCTTGAAAAGTGTTACATATTTGTCTCATGTTGCTTAGGTGTGTCTATGAGCCTCTAATGTGCTCAATTGTCTTTTGTTCTATCGTTGTCTTGATTGTGAACATTACCTTGCCTATCTTTCATTTTATTTCTTCAAGGTGGTAGCATACTCTTGACATTAGAGATATGACTCCATGCTTGTCAACCACATGTTTTAATTCTGGTTGTGGAACCTCTTAATACCACCTACTATTTGTAGGCTGCTTATGATGACCCAACCTAGTTTCTCTTGGTGCCAAGCTTAATCGCAGACAAGTTTCACAGTCTCAGCTTGGACACGATAACTAGATCCCTAACTACCTCGCTCTGATACCAGAATCTTGAACAAAACATGTTGGGAGTCAACAGAATTTGAATAACTTGCATACTACGGCACAACTATAATACACACACAAACAAAGACACTTGTGCAGGCACACTCATTTAAATAGACGCTCTTACTTACACCTGACACCTCACTTTCACTCATGCTCTGCTACAGGGATAATGAGAGCTGAGCTCTCTATATCATGATGAGCAGCTGCAACCAACTCAAATGGCTAGCATAAGTAACTGGATGTATCAGTCCATCCTCAGCTTACTGATATGATGTGTTGTTTTAGGAAAATGTTAAGCCAAGTCTTACTCATAGATATCCCTTCTGGATGTATCCGTTTCCATACATGATACTAATAGATATCCCTTCTGGGGATTTTGTCAAATTTGATGTGTGGCCTTCTTTTTATGGAAGATAACTTAACATCAGTCCTTCATTCATTTGGTAACAATATGCTTTGTTAATATGTACTTGTGCAAATGTCCATTTGTTTGGAAGTTGGAAAGTGAAAATTTGTGCATGAGCAGTACATTGTCCAGACCTAGTCCATCCCTAGCTTACAGATATGTGGGTGTTCTTTTCATGCAGATCACATCCACGCTTACATTTGCTGCCGCATGTGCTTCTGCTGGAATTACTGTCCTCATTGCCAATGATCTTAACAAATGTGATGTGAACCATTGCAAAAGGTTTGAGACTGCCACAGCTATGGCTTTTATCAGTTGGTTTGCTGTGTCACCATCCTTTCTTTTAAACTTCTGGTCACTGGCTTCCCGGTGAAACACGGCAGGGGGGAAATTCATCAGTGAGCCGAGTCTTCTCATATTCTAAAAAAAAAAATTGGCCTCTTTTAATGGCTGTGCGTCTACAGGGTATTTGTTTGATTGCCCTTATTCTGTATATAGAAATATTCTGGCAGAGTTTGTTGAGAGAATAATAACCTCTAGCATGGAGATATGTATAATTTTGGATTTTGAATCTTTTTCCTCATTGTGGGTGTCATGTGATAGTTTTTGTTGTTGTTCCAAAAGCGTTTTCCTGTTGGTTTGCATTGAAACTTCTTAGGGTCTATGTGCACCGAAAGCAGCATTGGAAATTCTGCAGGCTAAAAGCTTATAGGTGCCAAGTGGAAATGCCTGAGTTTATTCTGCAGCTCTGCTTTAGTGAAAGGTTAATGAAGATGATCATGCGTTCCGTTAAAGCTTCTATGATTATTAGTCTTGGAAAATGACAAAAGGCAACAAGTCGGCAAAATTCAATAAGTTGCTTTTGTTTGAAATGATAATCATAATTCACGAATTGCATGTTCTTCTGCTTTGCTGCTCTCTATGTATGGCTTTGACCCGTACCCTATCATTCTGCTTTCTTGAAATGAAGAAGACTTAAACCCATGTAGATTTGATCAAATGAGACAACCCAATGTCATGGCCAAGAATCCCACGTCCAGAAGAATGAGGTCCCTCAAGAGTAGGTATGCAACATCACCTAACATGCTAGTCTTTTCGGTTGATCGGTGAGCGCCTAGCCAGTTAGGAGTAGTATTCGAGCACCCCCATTTTTGGTTAATTGGCAAGCACAAAACCTGTTACGGGGCGTAGATGTATCAATGGTGAAATCAGTTACCAAATACTGCCTTTCCGAAAGGAGAAGGGAAAAAAAACATATGTAGATGTCACAACTTACATTAGGTTGTGCAGTGGATAATATAATTGTAACTGAAGAAGTTCAACTTTCTAAGAATACAACTTTTTCTTTTTCACTTTTTTTGTTAGTGGTTGGTTATATATGGGAAGTAGTTACAGTTTTATTAAGAAGTCTCTTATTTTGGTAAGTCTCTAACTCTTCTGTTAGCTTCTAATCTCCTTTTCTGAGTAAGTGATTAACTGAGGATTAGGCTAATCTTGACCCATCTCTCCTCAACACAAGATTAGTGTTTAATCGAAAGCGTAAGGGAAAAGAAATGGCAAGCAAGATAACGGTCTCTCGTCCCTTTTCAATTCTCTGCCTAGAAGAACAGTCAAGACAGTTGGTAACGGCCATAAAAGATTTAAGCAAAGATGGCTTTCCGTGCTATTAACCTGCTCGTTGAGCAACTTGACCATCTATATATACGTTTCAACCTTTACTGTTGTCTTTGAACAATTTGTCCCAAAGAGAGAAGGGTTTAGAGGGCTTGAAGTTGAAGATTGGAGAAGTATGTCTAATAAGGAAGTTGAGGAGGAAAGAAGGCTATATCAGTGTGCAAGGAATTATGAAAAAATTGTAAAACAGGTAGAGTGTGCAACGTAGTATGTTTACTTTTACCAACTGGATTTACCTTTCCCTAATTTAAATTTAACCATGTTTGAAAATCAAAATTACTGAGATAAGTTAGCCAGGAAATCATAATGCATCCCAACCCCTTAGTTAGAGCATTGTTTCGTTCTTTCTTTCTTTTTGGAATGACATTTTGTTCCAACTTGTACACATAAATTAATTAGGAAACTTGGGTTTGATTTCTGTTCTTCAGTTTGATGAGCTGATTGAGATGATGAACACCCGGAGCAGACTGCCGAAGCGACGAAAGGTATCTTCCGGTAACATCTCTTATATAATTCCATCTTCATCTTTAAATCTCACGTATGTGCATGCAATTTACAGAATTCTACAACTGCTGCTCCTGCCCCAGCAAGTCAACATGAGGACAATGAAGTGTTTGCGCAGACAATAACAAGATTTCTCCAGGACCTGAGAACCAACCCTGCAGAACCTGACTGCTCCACAGCCCCCGGAGATGGAAATTAGTTATCTTCCTGTGGGGAAAAGATTGCTTGTAAAGATGATTATGATCTCACTGCCATCTTAACTAGTAATTGTATTTAGTGGTGCTTAGTGGCTAATAATTAATATTTAAGTGAATGCTTGACTAGCTATCTTAGCATGGTTAAAAATGTAATGATATTCATCTCTTGAAAGTGCATGACAGGTGTTCCAGGCGAAACTCTCTACAGTAAATGTTTTTCCTTTTTGTCAATGCGATAATTTAAACTTCTCTAATCTACAAAATCCTTCTCTGATCTACAGCGAGGATTCGGAAGTTAGGAGTGTGTATATTGCCCTAATCAACTGGCCCAAGCACATTTTTATTTAAGAAAAAGAAAGAATTTGACTTAACAAAGAAAACCATGTACGACGCGCAGTCTTTTGAATAAAAGCGTACAAGACACACAATCGGACATCCAAAATTTCACATCTTTCAATTAAATGAATTACAGGGTCCGAAATTCCTGGAGAACTATTACAAGAAGGAATCATTCCAGGAAAAGAAAAACATAAATTGAAGATTGAACAACTTACATTGGTTACTAAGCAAGAAAATAAAGGTGGCAAAAAGTCATTGTATATTCATTGTAGAAAAGCAGAGTCATTTTATCGAACACCTCTCAGTTTCCTAGAAAGCAGCACAAGTTAAGAGTTGTAAGGGGCCACGTGCATCTCGTGCATACCATTGGAAGTTGCAAATTTGCAAAATGGAGATTGAGCTCATGAAATTAGTTTCTTGGTGAAGAGCATATGGATTGGACAATAATGAGGTAAATTTGGTTATGCTGAAGCTTTTGACCCTTGATGATCAGAAAACCTATTGCAAGCTGCACTTCAGCTTCTCAGCCTCAAGCTCTTGTTTCATGGCTTCCATCCGTTCAACCAAGGCCATATTTTCCTGGGCATTTCAGGGCTTGTAAGAAGAGGAACAAGATTCAAACCTAAAGGAACTTTTAAACACACTAACATATCATTGTCTATCAGAGCCAGCAAGGGAGAAGAAAAGGAAAATAAAAAAGATTTTCATTTAACATCAAAACATGCAGTTTATGCATAAGACTTGGGTGCATAACATAAGTTGAATTTTAAAAGTCTGATAATATGAGCAAGCCATTCTATCTCCTTAAACCAGGTTTGCCAAGGGCTGCATAAAAGTGGATGAATGAAAAAGAGAAAGATTGCATTGGATCTTACAGCTTTTAGTTCTTACCCTCTTTTGACTGCTTGGTTATAGGACTTGTTATGAGACATCATGATAATTTTTGTGTTAAATTTTGTACTGGAAAAAAGGGTCACCTTTTGTAGATTCACCAATTTCCGGTTGAGGCTAGCAGCATTTCCATCATCCTCCTCAAAAGACCCCTTTATCTGCGAGAACGACAAATAATCCATCGGTCCACAAAGAGATGATTATGATAGGCACAGAGACTCTAATCTTATCCTGGGGTGGAGGGAAAGACAAAGACTCCCAATTCTGTGCATATATACTATTGCTAATAAGAACAGACCCGCTTATCAAATGCCAAAACAGAAATATGGGCCTCAACTACTCTTAACAGCTAAAGACCCCTAGTAATTTAGTTGAGGGCATACGATGGTTATGAAGGGATTTGCTCTATCACCGTTCAATGCAAAATTCAAGAAGATATGTTTGAAGCAATAATTTGACAGGTGGCCAGTCCAGAAATGTGCTTTTAGAATTATTATTATCATTGGTAGGTGAGGAGCAGTGCAAGTGAATACTAAACGAAAGCCAATTACAACATCTGATCTGGACCAGCAGTTTTACCACATCAAAACAATAAAATAAAAATATAGGAAAAAGGTTTATTATTTACTGGACAAGATCATGTTGTCAGACTGAAGCATTGTTTAACAAGTCATTCAACTCCAGGATGCCCTTCCAAAGATTGGACCCAAACCCTCTTCTACAATTTTTGGCCAAAACCTCATGACTACTAAAAATAAAGTGATAAAAACCATACTATAGTTTCAAAAATGGTTTAAATTATCTTTTGGGTCAATGTAGAGATCATTTTCAAAGACTACATCTTCCTTTGGCATCCTTGCAATTCTCAGCATGCAAAGTCACCCTCCAAAGTGCATATGAAAATTAATTTGCCACACTAAGTATGCTCCAATGAGATTTGTGAAAAACAGCGACAACATACCGTCTTCTACACACAGATATGAAGCTCTAGTTGTACAACAAATCATGAAAAATAATTGGAAAGAATTAGCAAAATCAGGTGCGGACCTGTTTGAGTTCGTTCATACACTTGGTAGCCCTTTCTGCTTCTACATCGTATTTCAGCCTCCACTCAGCAGATTCATCCATTGCTTCCCTATTAGCAAGGTCGAACTGCCGCCTACCATATTTTGAGAGAAAAAATATATGTAGTTGACTTTAAAAAATCTTTAAATCATAACAGAAATAACAAAGAAACTCGACCCTATAAACCCAAATCAACACTGAAAATCCCATTTCATTTTATGGCAAACACTACTAATTTTTTGACATATGAAACTCTAGAAATGAAAGGTACATGTAAAATCATATACTACAAAATATAAACATAGGAGCGAACCCAGAAACTCAACTTAGGATTTATGATCAATTAGCTCAAGAATCAAAAGAAAGTTTCTGTCTTTTCTCACAACTGATATTCAACTATGGCATCAGAATCACTATAATGGGAAGTAATGCAAGAACTTGGGCTTAAATTTATCTTATATATAAAGGGCAATCATTTTTTCATTCATTCACAAAATCCACAAAAACATGAACCCTTAAAAACAAATTTGAGGTTAACAGAGAGATGAGATGGGAATTAAAGCAAAGCAAACCTCAAGAGCTCAGCTTCATCGGAAGAAACGGTATAGTCGATGGTCCAAAGCTTCAAGTACACGGCAACCCCAAAAAGCATCAGCACCACCAAACCTACCAATATTTTCTTGCTCCCACCACCACCCCCCATTTGTTTTTCTCTCACTCTCACTTCTCTGCTGCCACCAAACCGAAGACAAACACGCGGGTAAGAACCTGGCTTCAACTACTCGTAAATTGGGCCAAAACTAGGCGATGGCCCATGACCCTATACTTTTGGCTTTTTGTTGAGTGATTCTACTTTGCACTCAAAAGGGTCTTTGGACACCCCTGAAGTTCTTCTATTCTAAAATGACAATTATACCCTTATGTACAGTCGCCACGAAGAACTTTTTGGGTTTTGAAATGAAAACCCTGTTCAATTTCTCAGGATACCCACACAACACAACACTATCGAACCTCACCCACCATGTCACCATCTTTCCCTTTCTAACCCTAATTTACCTCTTTCTCAACGGCTATGATGATCATGAGGAAGAAAGTGATGAAGAAGTGGATATGTTGATTGGTTCCTTAAAAACTAAGGAAGAGCTTCTTCTCATAACAAATGAGATTTTGACACTTGTCAAATTCCAAAAGAAATAAAAGTTGAAGGAATTCAAAAGAAAACAAACAAGTTAAAGGAATTTGACAAGTGTCAAAACCCCATTTGTTATGAGGAGGAGTTCTTCCGTTTTTTTGGAATTTGACAGAGTTTTTATATGATTACACAATTTGTATGGAAATGAGCCTCTTACCTGTGATCATACCCATTGCACAGATTTCTTATCAGTTTTTCTGGAGCTTTCAATTTGACCTCCTGTAGGTTTTACTTGGAATTTGGTGATCGCAGATCATGGTATGGATGTATTTTTGTGAATCAAATTCTTTTATGCTCTTGATTTAGCTTGTATTATAAAGCTGACTGGGTGAATGATAATTTACCATTCTTATTCTTGCTTTTCAGGGAAGTTCAGTTCTTGATAAATGCTTACATTCCCTTCATTTTCTAGTTTCTGGTAAATGATTCCCTTCATTCTCCATATTAATTACTAGCGTTTGATTAAATAAGTATTTAAAGAGTATAGCCCGTATAGCCGCGCGGCTATACTGTCTAAATATATTAAAATATTAAGATATTAAAAATTTATAAGGTATAGCCGCTCGGATACTCCTTAAATATATTAAAATATTAACAAGTATAGCCGATCGGCTATACTCTTTAATTATATCAAAGTATTAAAACGTATAGCCGGTCGGCTATACTCTATAAATATATCAAAGTATTAAAACGTATAGCCGGGCGGCTATACTCGTTAAATACATTCGAATTTATAATGTATAGCCGAGCGGCTATACTCAG